CCAGTATCCGTGCGATGAGTGTCAACACTGAATCGGCCGCCAAGACGCGCTTCGTCAGGACTTAGTTGGCCGACCTGAGCATTTATATCATCACGAATTGATGCACTTTTTGCTGACAACTCTCGATAGAAGTTGCCCCTCTCAGCGTCGGAGTTGCTGCCCGTCGGAGCGCACGTTAACAACAAAAAACACCGTTCGCCACGTACAGATGCATGACTTTGACTGATCCAGTCAACCCAACAGTACAAAGACGATTATTTACTGCAACCTGGTTCGGTAAGGCGCATTCAACCATGGCGCTAAGCACAGCTCCCATAACCAGCTACTGCATCAGGATACCTGATACCTGATATGTAAGGTGCGGGGAATATGTATTCGCCCCGAGCGATTTGGGATGTATTACAGAAATGGGGACTGGTATGCGTGTTTCGGCGATACAGCAAACATCGACCAAAGGAGAGAACAAGGTCTGAGCAAGACCTGTCTGTTACCCGATTTGGCGTACGTTGAAAGCTGTAGTGTGGAGCAGACCCATTAAAGTTATTGGAGATTTATTTTTAACTATTTTACTGGGTAGAAGCTCAGATACAAAGCAACGCTTAGGTGACTGACGTCGAAACGAATCAGGAGCTTTGGTGAGGGGTGCGTGGGGATGAGTCGGTGAACGAAGAGCTGTAATAACGAATGAAACTTCCCGGTTGCCCAGACAAGGTGCCTTGAGTCTCCGGCTGAAAAATCTAAAAGCACTAAACAGCGGTTGTTGGAATTTTCCCAAGGGGCCCATCCCTCAGCCAATAATTCAGTAGCGTGACTCACTTCGGTTTAGGGGACAGAACTGGCCTGAGGACGCCGGGAGTAAGGCACAGCTGTCTGACACTTAATGCGGCTATGCAGAACAGGTGTAGTACCAGACTCTGGTTTTAAAAGTATGTCAACTGTACTGAATAATGCGCCGGTGGTCACGGTCAATCGATGGACGATCAGTGTGCGGCTTTTAGGGCCGGTCCTTTTTAAACCGTGCTTCCTAGAATGAAGGCAGCATCGTTGACTCTATGAATATGCTGGTTGCCTGAAGGAAACACCTTACCACCTTAACAATCCTACCAGAACGCCCCGTAAATACGGCCTCTCGCCGAGCTGTCATCTATCTGAATAGTGCTCTGAGCCCAACAGGATAGAGAGCCTTGTATGAAACAGCGATAGTGACCTCATTGAGGCTCAGTGCTTTTCATGCAAGCGAAAGACCACAACTAGGGTTCCTTGCGTCACGTATAGGTATGGTCACCTTATTGCCGTTACGGTCAATATCCCTCGAAAAAGCCGATTGTATTGTATTGTTTGTGGTTCACGAGACTTTTCTATTGCTAGACGGAGGGTTCATTTCTTAATTTTGCCGTGAAAATATAACGAAAACAGGCGACAAACACGGGTGGAAAAAATGATTCAGCTGTAGTGCGATTTCGGTGCCTAACTGCCATGACGCCAGGAAGCAGGAGGGCTGGGATACTGCCAGATTGCCCAAGCCTAGACAGCGGAAGTCGAGAGGCAGAGGTCGGGTTCGAACCACGGAACTTTTGATCGGTTAATTCACGCCCTTACCACTGAGCCATCTCGCCCTCAAAGCAAGGGTATGCTCCAAAAGAATTGGCGGTCAAGGACTTAACCTCAACATCGGTAGCTGATGGGGCACTTTGAATCCAGGACTACCAAGCTGTAGAGAGACGTCAGGTGGCACAAATCTGGTGCTCCTGTGCATTAAACTCCCCTGCTATTATGACTGAATCCGGGATCTTCGTGGTGAATAAGGTGGTCAGTTGTTAGCAGGTGTCTTTCAATGAATAGAACAATATTTCGTTGGCGCATAAAAGAGAGTGACAAACAAGAAACGGTAAGTATTACAAACAATGTGAGTTCTTATCGTAGTGGAAAGCAGGACATCATCATCACATCGTTGACAACACATACACATTGGGGCTTAACTACCATAAGGGGGAAAGGTGGTTCAAGTGGTTGGCGCGAATTTACTGACAAGAAGGTCCGACCTTTCTCCCTCGACTTTTCCTGTCTAGGCTTGGGCAACCTGGCAGTATCCCAGCCCTCGTGCTTCTTTTGGGTGACACGGCAGCTAGGCACCGGAAGGGCGTTACAGTTGGACGATGACTGCCACAAGTCGGGTAGCAAATGTTCGGCTGTTAACAAGCATTCGGTCGAGGAGTGAAGCCTCAGCTCGCGAACTGAGGGCTACACGAAAGCCGGTGTAACCCTCTGCAGTAGCTGCAAGATCAATCGAAGTTCGCAATCCAGGGAGGGTGTCGTAAGCTCGGACACTGTGCTCTGATTTGTATTCCAGTTTAAGAGATGCAGGTGTGTTAATAGAGTATAACGGCGGTCCGTTGGCTGATCTGTCTCTGGAGAACGAGGCTTGAGTGACGGGTGTGGAGTGGTAGATATGAGCAGCAGCGTGCAATTTATCAATTTCCTGGGTGCTTGGTTGACATGCCAACAGCTGACATATACATAAGTGATTGTGAAGTTGAACACGGTAGTTGAAACCACAATGAAGAACGATGAGGCGACAGGAGCTGCATATTTCCGCTTATCCACCTCGCCGTTTCATCATGAAACGGTCGATGAAGCGTGAAGGTATTTGATTTGTAACTTCACGGCTGTATGTGGGCTGAGATGCCACCAGGGCGCCCAACTATATTCAGGGGGCCTTCAATCAAGGTCATTGGCTCAAACGCTTGCTCGAAAAGTGGTGCTCGGTGTGAGGCTAGTTGCGTGTTCCAGATCTTGCGAAACAAGGCGCCATATTTGTTCCAACACCTAATATAGAGAACTAAGATATCGTGATTATTGGACCTCTATCCACTGAATAACCTGGTAGGAAAGATGTGGATGGTGAACTGGTATTCTCTAGTAAAGCTCAATGGGTTACTGAGTCGCCGAAACACGATAAGGACCAGTCTCTTCATGACTGAATTTTACCAACACTAAAGTCTGGAACACCAAAATGATAGTGATTTCTGACGCATCACTACAGTAGGTGGTCACAAGGAAGTTTGTGTGTTTTTTTAGAGACGAACATAAGCGATCCTGGATTAGGATACCCGAGTTGGACCAAGTGGTTGGAGCGCGAATTTACTGACAAGAAGGTCCGTCGTTCGAACCCGACCTCTGCCTCTCGACTTCCCTTGTCTAGGCTTGCGCAACTTGGCAGTATCCTAGCCCTCGTGCCTCCTTCGTGTGGCACGGCAGCTGGGCACCGAAAGGGTGCTACAGCTGAACGGTTTTTTAGGATACCCGAATAACGCTCGAATTTGTGGATAACCATGCGTGCCAATGAGTTCTTAAATTCATAGACACGTGAATGAGTAGACTTAAACATGATTATATCCACCGGATGGTACCTTTCAGAAAACACATGAGCAAAGAACAGGTCGGTTTTTAGAGAAAAGCGTGACATTATAATGCAACAATCCTTGCTGTGGACTGTTCGATGCTGCTTTCGACTACCACGTTCAGTGTCATCAATAGGACTGCGGCTGGGTGGACGGGTAGATGATTCCATAAGTATTGGTCTATAGCCTTTTCTGGCGAAAAAAGTAAACATATCTAGAGGTCGTTCATCTGATGAACTTCAAAAAAATTGGGTCACAGGTCCAGTGAGGATGAAAGCTAGTTGGTTATAGTAAAATGAACGGGATCATGGCATTCGTCAGTCTAGTTATCCACCCACTTTTGATCTGCTTCCACATTAATCGGGTTCAAACTGATGAGAGCGGGAGAGGGCTTGCGTATGTTAGCTCCCTCATGTGAGTCCGGCGCCTCAGGAGTACGAGGACATGAACTTCTGGGTGTCGAGTGGTATCTCAGCATGTCTATATTGTACGAAATTCTTTATCCGAGACATTAATGAGTGATTGCACAGAATATGAAATGATCGCTGTCTCCGTCATACTGGACTACACAGATCAAATGTACTGCGAATTGTTGGTTTTAACAGTCTTGACTCAAGTTTGGAAACAAATCCTGATAAGAACCTGGTTATAGCTTGGCGCTCGGACAGCACTTGGATCTTCCTGAAGGATACAATCGTATATCGTGCTGGGTATCGGAATAAAACAGAAACTTGGTGGCACACATGGGGTTAAAAACCTTTCGCCACCAATCCAGGTATTTGCGTCGCGTCTGTGTTTGTGCATTGGATATGTCCAATGCCACTCCAGTGGCCTGCGTGTTAGCATACTTGCTGTTACTGGGGTTGCGATCCAATCAGTCAGTCAATAAGAGCAGACGATAGGCGTGAAAGCCCCAACCCCATCCGCACGACTAAACTGACGCCACTCCCCGAAGGAAGTTGATCACTGGGTTCAGGGGGATGATGGATCTCCAATGGTGATCGGGATGGCTCAGTGATTGAAGCACAAGTTTACTGACCGGAAGGTCCGTGGTTCGAACCCATCCGTTATAAGTCAAATGCCACTGTAAGGAACCAATCAGTTTGTAAGTATATCAATTCTCGTGCTTCCTTCAGGTGGAACTACAGCTGGGCACTGGAAGGGCATTACAACTGAGCGATTATTTATTATTTTACCTTACGAGAGGACTTGATTTGCATCGTTCCTTAAGGAACGATTTTGTGGCCCAAATTTATGCCACCAACAATTTTAACAAGTTTCTTAAATTTGGTTTTGCGCTAGCAGGTAAAATTTGACAGGTCATTTTATTCATCAATCACTTGTTGACAGTATGACAGTGATACAGATTTAGCCAGCCGGTTTAATGGAACTTCCGCCGGTAAACACGTGCGAGCGTTCCGCGAGAGTCGATTGGCCCAAAACCCCATCCTAAGTAAATGTCTAGTAGTGCTTTGGACTGGGTTCTAGAAGGACTGCGGTCAACTATTAGAGGAAGGTCATTCCACGCAGCTACTACCCGAAATGAGAAAAAATTTTGCCTGATGAATTTGTGCGCTCTGAGCTTTAAAATCTTCTTACTATGTCCCCGCCATGTTTCCTGGATCAATGGTGAAAAACCTGTTAGCCAAGCTTTGGTCAAACAGGGCATAAGTAAGAATTAGGTCCCCTCGGAGGCGAAGGTACTCCAGGGGAAAGAGATCAAGCATTGCGAGACGCGTTTCGCAGTCCACGGATTTGAGGCCGGCAACCATTCTCGTGGCGGCTCGCTGGACGTGCTCAATGAGGGTGACGTCTTTCGTGCGTCCTGAGCAGACAACTTGGTTGGCGTACTCCAAGAGCGGCCTGACGTAGGCCCCATAGAGTATTTGGAAGTCCATGCGAGTGATACGGTAGAAAGTGCGTCGGATCATCCGTAAAAAGGCGGATGCCTTTCGGGCTTGTTTCTCATGATACATTGAGAAGGACAAGTTTGAGGAGACCCAGATACCCAGATCCTTTTTGGCATCTATCCTCGTGATGTTTTCCGGTCCTTGCTCACCATGCATAACAAAAGCACTCGCTAAGTCTCCTCCAAATGGCATATGGACGCACTTTTTTCATTCAGAAGAAGGTGCCAGTCCAACGACACCTGCTTGACAGCGTCTACATCCATTTGGGGGACAATGACATTCGAACTCCAGGGTTTCAAGTCGTCCTGGACATGGACTTGCAAGATTATCTGGAAGGTCGTTGACGTAGATCGGAAACTGGAGTGGTCCCAGGGCATATGAAAGCTTATAATGGTGCTTCGAACTAGGTACTAGACGGAAGGTGGACAACCGTCGGGCGAAGGTTGTTCCACTCAGCAACTACTCGAAATGAGAAAAAAAATTAACCACTAAGGGACTGTGCTCCGAACTTGGAAATCTTCTTACCATGTTCAAATCAGGCATACGTAAGTATCAAGTCTCCTCGGAGGCGACGGTTCTCCGGGTGGAAAGAGGTCAAACACCACGAGATGCGTTACATAATCAACGGATTTAAGGCTGACAACAGTCTATTAAGCAGCCCGTTTGAAACGCTCACTGAGGCTTACGTTATTCTAGCGTCCTGAGTAGATAACTTGGTTGGCATATTCAGGAAGCGGTCTGACGTACGTCAGGTAGAGAGTCTGAAAGTCTGTGTGAATGATACTGGGGAAGGTGCACCGAATCATTCACAGAACGCCGAACGCCTACTGGGACAATTTCTCATCATGCCAAGAGGAAAACCTGTTTGAAGAGGGTCAGAAATGCAACCTATTTTGGTATATATCCTGGTAATGTCTTCTGGTCCACCCTCAGTGTGCACGATACAGGCGTTCTTCGAGTCCTCTCCGAATGACATAAGGACACACTTTCCTCATTCAGAGGAAGGTAGCAGTCCAACAGCCGCTACTTTGCGGCACCAATATCCATTTGGGGGCACAGGCATCCAACATTTAGGACTTCTAGTCGTCCGCTCAAAGTAGTTATGGACTTGAATGAACGCCTGAGGGTCGTTGATACAGATCAGAGACAGAAGTGATCCCAAAACAGCCCTGGAAAACTCCAATGGACACCATGCCCGGAGAAGAGTGGACCGAGCTTATCTACACTTGGAATGTTCCTTCTGATAGGAGCGCCTTACTCCAGCGTAGAATTTCCCTTTGAATCCCGTAAGATTCGAGTTTGTGGAACAGCGGGACGCGGGCCACGATTTTAATCCCGGCGCCTCCGCCCACCCCCTTCTTAATTTCTTCCTTCAGTGGATATTTGGCTGTGTTTTGCAGGTCTTTTGGAGTCCTAGTTCACACGGCCGTCTTTTGAACTCTGACACTTCTCTCCTTCGTAATTATTTTGTAGAGTCCATACCAAAGGGGAGGAGAATTGGCTAGGATGGTGCTATTTATTCCTTCTCTCCAGGTTTTTGAGGCCTTCGTGTGCCATTGGGAGGACAGCCTTATAGCACGCCTCGCAGCGCATGGCGCAGTGTTGAACCCAACTTGGCATCATGACAATCGAACCAATCGCTTGCTTACTCCTCTCGTGTGCTTATCAATCTTCACTTGTTTCGATTATCCGTACTTGCCAATTATCTTACCGTAAATGTCACCCGGTTCGACGCCGGGATTCTAGCATGTGTGAATGTAGTATCGTCGATTTACTAACGAATGTGTTTGGTCTCGTCTGATGGGCTTGCTCTGACTTGTTCTGTCATGGTTTCCGTGTTCTTGCACTGCTGGCCATTGTCATTAGACACACTCCGGAGGGAACGATGATAACCTGCACTACCGGGTCGACATTCCGTGCCCCACTGGCTGGTGTTGAGCCTTGGACTCTGCGCTTTGCCGATCAGCGAAGGAATTAGGCAAGAAAGCACGCCGAGAAAATGTACGATACGGATATTTGTGTAGCTTTACTTACCCCATCTATGCGTGACTCGGAGTTCTTGCTCATAGGCCTAAACAACATTGTCGCTGAGACGCGTTTCACTGCAACATACCATCGGGTGTGTTGGTAGTTGTCGCAAAAGTATGAAAAAATGAAGGCAACCAAAGGTCATGTTTTTAATGAGGTTACTGCATGTGAACTTCATGGGGTGTGCGGCTGGGTATGTTTCCAGATAACTGAAACCAAATATTTTGGTTTATCGAGATCCTCATTTTGAAGGATTCCACATGGAACGTTTGTGTTTGAGGTTGAGTAAAGCAGGAGCGATCGGCAGAGAGCATATTAGCGTATTATGTAACCTTAATTTAATTTTGGTACACGATGCACGCATCAACAATCAGACTGAAGGAGTCGCAGGTGTGCAAGTAAACTGCATTTGAATTTGTGCGCTTTCCGGCTCATGCGTAAATTGGCCAATCAAAAGGCCGGTTTGTTCGTTGATAGTCTGATACGACCCATAAACTGCTGAAGGGACATGGTTCAACTTCTCGTCAAGGTCTCATCGTGGCACTTGGCACATGCAGGTTAAATAAAGTACGCGTTCACAGTGGGTGACGGAAAACTACTAGCATTTTTGTAGCCCTCGCGGACGAGGAACACTTGTCAAGCCTACCAGCCACTGTGCCTAAAAGCGTTGGGGTTGCTTAAGCAAGCCCAACATATAAGCACCACAAATAGAGGGAATGTGCGCTCTAATTGCGGATTCTAGACTTAACTGTAATTCATACGGCTCCCCCAGTTTAGCCGTCAAGATACTACAACCATATCACGTCGCTTCGATACGGCCGAACCCCTTGCAGGGCTGTGCCGTTACCAATGCCCGTGGCAAACTTTTAAACCGAAACGCAACTCTGCTCTTCCTAGTGCTTTCAGAAAAACTCAACCACTTAGTCACTTGCATTCAGCGCGGCTAACGTCTCTAGCTGCAGGTATCCATAATATGCGGCAGGCACACCAATCCACAAGCACTTCTGCCCCAAATGTGGCCTTCCACGGAACAAGATCTTTTACGAAGAACGGCTGAATAAAAAACTTCTTTTAGGCATTCGATTTGCAAACGGACGTTGTCCCGGTCCTTGAGTTACACACGAAACGGGATGGCGATAAGGCAGACTCAGAATATGTTCTAGAGGCGCTTCCGACTAAAACACCTGTTCTTTACATTTTTCAGCAAACAAGGATTGAATAAGTAGGCAAAGAGAGCTGAAGCGGCCGCCTAGACAACGTGAGCGCCCCCCACCTAAGCAGATGCACAGCACTATCTCAACCCCCACTATAAGAGCCCACGACTTGACTGAACTGACAGGTGCACGGTTTAGGCAATGGGTGAGCTCAGATGGCCGAGGTCACAGCAAAGCTGACCACAGCAACGACCTTCTCCACAATAAGGCGGACCAATTTGGTGCTATTAAGCGTCGTAGGACAAGACAATAATATGCGTGGCCCCAGGTAACCTTCAAACTAAGTATTCTGAAAACTGATGTTTCGGTTTTCGCCTACCGCGACACCCTTCAGTTAAGTATCCCACTTTAAGTTTTGGTCCCGAAGACCAGCCCATTAATCTTAGTAAACAAAGGGCTCGTGTTACAATGGCATATTAATCATACTCATCAGTCTGCGTCCACCTAAGTATCAACTCCCAGCCACTGAATGTGCGGTGTGCGTGCCAACGGCCATCAATGCCCGGCCCTCAGCGTTGGTTTGCGCCTTGTCTCCAGATGGCTGTTCATTGTTTTGACGTTCCCAAGAATATATTTGGGTTATTTTTTGGCGCGCAGTGGGCAAGTCATGGGTGACCGCAGTGAAACTTTGATAGATCCGGCAGCAGCACTCACCATGGCATGCAGCCCTTCCATGTGCTCTCTGACAGCCTAATCTTGTATTATAATGGTTCACATCCATTACTTGACCTCACCCGCCTCCTCTCTTTAGGCACAAGCATTGGAAACCAAGTTAGCTTCCGTTGCTTCCTGCCGCCAAAGGCTTGTGTCCGCTAATATAAACAGTGCCATACCACACTTTCAGAGCATGCTCAACTCGGGCATCATACAGCCATCTAACAGTCCGTGGACTTTGCTATGTCCTTGTAAATTCCTGAAATTGGCGCACAGGCAAAAGTCATCAACGCCTCAGCATACCTTCCGCAAAACACAGTCATCCGGTGCTGCACATCAATGATTTAACAGAAAAATTAGCCTAATTGTACCGTCCCTAGATAGACCTAGCGCACGCATGCTGACAGATTTGAGTCAACCAGGATGTTGCTAGAACTGCGATCACCTCCCAATTTCCTCTGTTTATTTGGCACATTCAGGATTTTTAAGGTGCACGTTTCTGATGATTCCTGACAGGCATCTTGTAGTAACGTTATTTCCTCAGCTTAGTTCTCTGTCTGAGCCTCCCGAGCTAGCGTTCACGAGAAAACAACCACCAAAGTTGCACACGGTCGTAGCAGCTCCTAAAGACGTGCGGTATAGTGGGATCCGTGTGAAACCCTGCCTAACACCCCCTTGAAGGTTCTTGACGTAGCTTCGAACTTGGAAGTTCACTTGAAGTGGCCTCACTGGCTTGCGGATCCTGCCTGTTCAGCGTCGTGGCCGTAATCCGTGCTCAGGATGGGCCTCTGACGAGGCAAATGATTGATCTTCCGGGATGTGGCCGAGATCAAAAGTGTCCAGAAGCGTTTCTAGACTCAAATCACGTGGTCCCGTGGGCAGGATATGCGTATCTGTCTGTCAGATTTGGTTCGCATGGCGTATCCACTTGGCTGGACCAACTTGAATCTCGTAGAGCACTTTGCCGCGCCGGCGAAGGATGAATCCCGGGGTATACGTGGGGTGTCTGCCGCAATAGTCACGAACTAACACTCTCTGGCCTTCGCTGAATGAGCGCGCAGTTGCTCCATGATGCCGGTTGAACTGTTCCTCCATTCTGGTATTGCAGTGACTAGCCTGCCTTTTTTGTGGCCGGATAGTGTCATGCGCTGTTTGAAGCCTCCTTCGGAGCAGTGTCTCCGCTAAGGTGATACTCCATCAGGTGAGTTGGGGTTTGGCGTCGCTCGATATGCCAGCAGGAACCTTTGCAAAATCTCTTCCGTTGGTCCCTCCCCTCTGGACTTCTGAAGTGCCCACTTCAGGGTGTCAACAAAGCATTCTGCTTGACCGTTCGACTGTGGGTGAAACTGCGGCTAGCGGACATGTGTTATGCCATGCTTCCGACAAAAGTTCGCGAACGGCGACGATTTGAACTGACTGCTGTTTTCTGATAC